GGGAGGGTTTCCATATATTTATCCACAGCCTGGCACAGAACAGGAGTACTGCAAATAATAACAGCAAGCTAACTCTCAGCCTCATGTGTCTAACTTTCCTTTTTTTAAAAAAAACATTTACATACACGACAACGCCTTTAAACACGATGTAACATTTCTAACATTACAGTTACATTATCTCGCAACAAACGGACACTAGTCACCTTACGGTTTAAAAGCACAGTTTCTCTTTGCAGGTAGAGGTACAGTATATTTTGAAATAAACTATTCCAACTTGCAGTGGATGCAAAATGTCCCCAGTTCCAACTTTATAATTTTCCTTTATAAATAACCCTGTTATCAATCATTTTCCAGGTACTTTTACATGATGCGAAATGTTTTGCAGCTCCGGAAGATGTTCTGCAGAATTTGTTTCGAGCCTAAGGACACTCTTCGTTCTGAAAGTTTCTAAGACCCCCTACTGAATTCCATCAATTCATTTCAAACTCTTTCATTAGATTACGGTCATCTAGCCATTCATTAATATAGATTTATTTCATGAAGGCCACACATCCGCAGTGAAATGGGTCAAGACGTATCAGGGTGGCATAACGTCTCCTTTGCAAAATAAGGTCTTCTTGTCGTCAGTCCTTTAATATCTCCTGTTGTGATGAATCCACAGCCCTGGGCTCCCAGCCCTCAGTGTCTCTCCACTCCCCTGGAAGAGGTCAGACCCATCTGCTGTGCAGGTCAGAGGGCTGGTTCCCTGCACCTGCAGTGATCTGGACAGACAGGGATGGACATGATGTGACCTCACTGTCCAGCAGCACAGTGGAGAGGGACAGTCAGGGGCTCCTCAGTGTCAGCAGCTACATCCCAGTCCAGCAGGAGTCCAACATCTTCTCCTGTCTGGTCAGAAGTGCTCTTCCTGAACCAGACTGGGAATCTCAGCTCCACATACCCAGTAAGTACTAGTACTAGTGAGTATGTATGGATATATATGTACAGTATATTCTTTCTTGACTGGTTTCATGATTTCCTTCTGACTTTGACCTGTTTATAATCATTATTTTTCAATACACTGACCAGTAATAATCAGATCTCTTCTACAATTGTTTTGTTCCATCAGGCAGTATGGTGGCCACTAGGTCAGTGCTGCTGCCTCCCAGTTCTTTGGTCCTGGGGGGTTCAGTTCTAGATTTATCTGCCTTCGGTGTGGAGTTTGCATGTTCTCTGTTTTTTGCCATGCACTCCAGTCTCCTCCTACCTCTCCACGTCATGCAGGCTGCTTGGCAACTTCAAATTCACAATTTCAAGTTTTTAAACTTAGATAAGAGGAGGTGTGAAATCTGGGAACTATCTGATTTCCTGTGGGATTATATCCATTTGCTGTTTTCCAGGAGACTTTTTCCCTCGACCCTCTGGATGGATGGTGGCTTTCTGTGTAACAGCAGCTGTGATTGTAGCAGCATCAGCACTTCTGGTGATCCAGTGGAAAAGAATGGACAGTATGTGCTCATTAGAGATGTGTGTCTGAATGTCTGTGGTTCTACTCTTTCTTACAGAGGAAAGACTCTGGGAATCTGGATTAGTGTGATTTTTTTTTTAAAAGCCAGTGTCAATGCAGGAGTCTGTATCAGTTACTGACTCCACTGTTTCTTACAGAGGGGAGACACTGAGGAAATCGGAATGGCATTAAATTAGTGTGACTATAGAAGAGTATCGTTTGCAGGAGTCTGTATCAGTTTTGCTGACTCTTTTTGTTTCTCTACAGGGGAAGAGAGACAATATGGTGAGTGAACTCAGTGTTTTTCTGGACACAGTCTGCATGTGTGATCTAATTGCTTTATTTATGAAAGCATTTATGAAAACAGTGAAACATTTCTAGGATCATCTTATTCCCACTGTGTGTCTGTGACTAACAGTGTCTG